ACAGTGGAGATTCTACCTTCCTCCACACCCTCTGGATCTAGGCTCCCACTTGAAAGCTTGTAAGCCAGTCACTTGTTGCCTTTGTAGCCTCCCCAATCTGGAGCCAGTGTCCATGTTGCCCATCCCTGTCTACTCTGTGTATGGTGGGGGTCCAATTTATTTTTATTTTTGCTCTTGAGAGTGTACACAGCAGAACAACTGTGTCATGCTTTTAAGAGATGCCCCTAAGAGTTCTCTGCTTATCTCAAACATGGGGAACCAATCGTCTTTGTTTTAAGCTTTATTGTTTTGACTTTCATATTTAGGTTTATCAAGAGATACTTATTCTATTGCAGCAACACGACTGTCATAAACATTGGATGTAAATCACTCTAACTCAATCTAAATGTTCCAGAAAGCTACTGACCTGAAAGGCAACAAACAGATAATTGCTTTTTATGAAAAGAATCTTTTCTTCTCATGAAGCAGCAATAATAGCTTTAATCATATAATGAAATTTCATATGTTCTTTTAGGACTTTAATTCTTGGAAGTAAATACGACTGGTTCGGGAAGACAAGATGACCACTGCTGCAGAAAGAAAATATGTTAATATTAGGAAAAGATTGGATCAGTTGGGGTACCGCCAGACTCTGACAGTGGAATGTTTACCTTTGGTAGAAAAACTTTTCAGGTAAAGGTGAAAATACAACCATAAACCATATTGATGCCTTAGTCCTGTTACCCTACTTCTGACGGATTTCATCCTTCATTAAAGAAATGGTTAGAGTTTTGAAAAGACCTTAAATCCTCTAAAACTTTAATCAGTTCTTCCTTAGATCCTACTCCCCTGTAACCAATTCAAGACCTCCACATTGTAGAACTCTCTGAGGTCACCATTCTTTAAGAATAAACATTCCTGAGTGTTTTCTCTGTGAATAAAATTACAAGTTTTATTTAATGTCATTTTCTAATATAGTTCCAAGACATTCTTTCTTTAAGTTCATTGTCTGCTTCACTGTTCTTTAGTTACTGAATTATGAGTCTGTAATATTTAGTCGTTACTTTAGTTGTTATATTACTGAAAGGTTCTTATTGATCCCCCCACTCCTCAAAGGGCTGCGTTGGAGTGGTTTGACACTGAAACAGAGACACTCTTTAGGAGGTTTTGGAATGGGACTCCAGGCAGTGAGAGAGCCCTTGTGGTATGGTGGACTAGGTATTGGGCTGCTCATCACATGATTGGCAATTCAAACCCACCAGCTGCTTTAGGGAGAAATATGAGGCAGTTTGTGACTGTAAAGATTTACCCTATGGAACGTGTCTCCTCGGTCCAGTACGTTCATTGTGAGTCAGAATCCATTCGATAACTGGATTTGGTTTTTTAGAATATAATACTACATGAGACCAAGTCTTTGACTTTGTCCTTGCTATGTCTGTAATAGCAGGAGAAAGTTGGGTCTGTCTGATCCCATAAACATTTACAGTCTCAGAAGTTCAACTCTGTCCTTTAGGATTGCTTTGAGTTGGAATTGATTCAGTGGCAGTGGGTTGGTTGATAGAGCTATAACAGAGCTAGACACCTAGAAACTGGAGGGAGGAGGGAGTAGTGTGCCTGGCCCTTGATATGCTGTTCCCGTAGGCATAGGTGTTATCCATGTACAGGGCACTCAATCTGGAAGTAGTTTGTGTAGGCTTTAAGGGTGGTGGAGGTCAGAGTCCTCCTTCTCAGAAGGGAATCTTTCAAGCCCAGAGGACGGCTGGGGGTAGGGTGCTTGGTTATGAGAGTTCCTTCTAATCTAGGGCCGGCTGGGGATTACCTCTGTGCATTCTGCAGATCTGACAAAGCAGAGTTCACCTACCTTAACTCACTGTGGCTTGGCTTACAGTGGCCCAGCTCACAAGAACATGGCTGCAACCTTAGACAGAACAGGGGCTGTGCTGGAGGAAGGTGACGATGAGGGCTGACCACACCTGCAGTCACCAGGGAAGTATGAAACAGGAGAGACGTGCATCTTTTTCATTGCCAGTCGTCTGGGTCCCTTCCGTTGTCAGGCCACTTCTCTGCCCTTTCCCCTGAAGCTCAGGATTGCAGGATTAGCATCTGTATCTGTTTCATGTGATCTTTGTTGTCACGTCTGTATTTGTATCTGTATTTGATTCCTTGTATCTATAATGCTGGAAAATGAGCTTCTCAGAGTGGAAGGCACTCAACATACAACTAGGGAATGCCACCTCCTCAAAATAGAGTTGACCGTGATAAC